TATAAATTCACCCACCACAGTGATTTCTTATAGCTCATTAACTGTTCATTTAAATTTGTGAAAAGATCAATCATTTTCAGAATGCGACTTTTTAAGAATTCTTGAAAGTTTTTTGGCAAAACCAACTGCTTTATCAAGAGCTTTACATTTGTCGAGGTTTACTTTCCACACTTCAAACATGGAAACAGCCCTAGTGAAACTTCGAGTAAAATTCCTCGGAGAAACAGATTACATAAAATATCCGAAAGATGTGAACTTTACCAATCCTTACCTTACTTTGTTCTACTAGGTTTAACATGCTTTTACTTTGCCTTGAATAATTTTTTGTAGGAGATGGTTTGTGGCAATAATTTTCAATGCGATGTTTGTATTAGTGCGCGATTTTTGCATTGTTTCGTTTTAACAAAAGAGCTTGAATAAAAGAGATTCGCACAAATAGTTGACAAATTTTAAAAAAAATTATTTTGCTTATGAGCAACAGTTTAATAAAACCGCACTAAAAGTGCGTTAGATGAATTTGCGTCTCAAAATCCTTTTTTGTGTGGGAATGTAAAGTTTCCATTAGTGTACAACCAAAACGGTAAAATGATGCATGCGAAATGCAAATGCATGCCTACCAGAGGATTTGTTAAGTTTGCAACAAAAACTTCAAGTAGAAACTGAACACAGCTTGCGCAAAACCGCAATCATAAAGTTATCCGCATTTTCAGTTAAAATTTTTCTGTATTTATGCCCACTTTCGCACTCGAAACATGCCGGTTAAGTAGAGACTCTTTCAAAAGTTTTAAAAATAAGTGGCTAGTGAACCACTCAAGCTGAGCATAAATTAGCACCGCTATAACTCAAGCGGGATAAACCCATAAGAAGATGAAACTGAAGGAGCGATTTGGCGTGAAATTTTTTTTGGCAGACTTCGAAATTGCTGTAGTCTCAGTTGTATTGGCTTTAACGAGTTGGTTTATCCAAATGTAACTAATCGAATCAAAACTGGAGCAAACTCTTTTCACTCACCGCAACCAAAATCATTTTAGTTGATGTGCTCAATACATGCGTGTCTCTAGCAGCTAAAATTTTCTCCTCAGACTGTGTGCTATCGAAAAATACTCCATAAACGGTCCAAATGTAGCGTTTATCAAAACTCACTGTGTCTCCTACACGTCATGTTCATTGGTTAGGTCACTTGCTTGCATCATATAAACATCCAAAACATTGAGCCCAACTTTTAAGAAGCATCAAATACATTTTACGGAATAGGGCTCTTATTGGCTGACTGCATTCACCAAACTAACATTCAGCTACATTTCGTCAAAGTCAGACGCTTGATTAAAATCCTGATGTGAGAATCGGACTTTTCGGTGACACTAGCCAAATCTTGCTCTCTGTAGGCTCCACATGAAATAGCCCTGAATTCCACTTATTCAATATCTTGTTACATGACAAAGAAGGATTTTGAGTCAGATAAAGTCGAATAACACTAGCCTTTCTTTATGGCTGCATATTGCAACACGTGACCAACATAACCTTGGCAAGATTATTGTTTTTCAAATTAGAAAAAAAAACAAAAATATGATGCTAAAAGGGAGACCGTTCAAGTCTTAGATGCTGCAAAGGAAGTGTGGCGGTTTATTTTAGGCCACTTCAATTCACTAATCAGCGATATTACAATTAGGTTGCAGCATGGGCTACACCGGTTGAGCTTAAAATGCATTAAAGTGAGCCGAGTTAGTAATAAGGAATGCCGATCAAAAACGAAAATCATGATCCAAAAAATTGAAGCAGTTAAAGGTGAGAAAAAGAATTTTGAAAAACCAGTCATGCATTGTGTTTAATAAAAATAATACCTCGGTACCTCAGGATGAATCATTTAGTCCAAACGTATTCAAATCGACAGCGAAGATCATAGAAAAAGCTCAAATCACACCAGAATCTGCAACAAAATGATGATTTGATGGTGACCAAAAAATTTTACAAACTTTCTAAAAAATATTTGGTTGAGCCAATTGTTGCAACACCACTACTTGGGGCTGAAAATCACTGTATTTGCTAGTTGAGATGTTTTTTCCCTTTTTAAAGGAAGAGAAAAAAAGCGTGAATTTGAAAATTACGTGCCAGATAAACCGAATACACTTGGTAATTATTAAACTCCAAATTTATTCTGGGGTTAAAAAATAGCAGCTAGCGAGAACTGAATGCCAAAAAATTGTGTCAGGCAATCACAAGTGGTTGTGGGTAGCACCAGCGGAAAATGCACTTGCTAAAACTATGTGTCAACGTCAAAACAGTATACAATAAAAATTATAAACCATCCGGGGCTGACCTTAACTCAACGAAATTATTTTTTTATGTTGTTCAGACTGTAACTCTTTTGAAAAAGGATGTGCCATGAGGTGTGGGAGCAAATGTTACTAGAACTTAACAGAGTAGCATCATAAAATTTCTTTTTTGCAACGTTGCTAAGGCGATTGATGTCTATTTGGCCTTCTGGAAATGAAAATTTTGAATATTTTAGGCCTGGGCTTTTGCAAGACCTTTTAAAGTGAGACCGCTAATGGCTTTTTTAAGAATCACGAGTGAACTGTGGTTTATTTCGATTACTCGATCGTGTTTAGTGTTTTATTCATGATTTAAAAAGTGAACAAAAGTCAAGGGTACCGCAAATAATAAATTGGCTTAACTTAGCGTTGTCTGCTGATTTCTACTTTCACCTGTCTATGTAGATCTTCGGCTCCCATGTGCTTTGAGAACCACATCGTGGTTTCTTCAAACTTCATGTAACTTTCGAGGGAAAAATTCAAAGCATCTTAAATTATGACTTAATTAGGCTGAAGCACTATAATAAGCCAAATCTTGACGCCCAGATTGAGTAGATGTAACGAATTGACATATGGTGTGGTGCCGGTGTAGGCCAAGCCCATTTTAAATCACGACATGCTCTCCCCCTATCTTTGTATATCTAAATAGCTCAAGGGGAAGATCAACAGCCAACCAGAGGCAAGAATGAATGAGATGCATGCAAAGAACTGAATGTGCGGTCAGTATATCGGACTCGGATGATGACGGTTCTGGCTTTTGGAATGTCAATAATGCCTGTCTTCTTCACACTAGATCTCGACCATCCTACACATATTGGATTTGAGGAACCAACTCTAAAACTTAGACGTAGATCAACGTTGTAATTTACTACAATGAAAGATTTACATGAATGTTCTAGGCCACTTAGGGAAATTAGTATTTGGCCTCCGTTATTTGTTTTAAATGAATGTTAAATTGAAAAAAATATGTTTTAAGCACGCTCGCAGGTTCAAAAATATTGTGGACAGAAAAAGTTTTAAGAGATAAAATTTGAGTCAGTTAGTTGCTTATTTTTGGTGGCACATAACAATTAGGTTTGACAAACTGGTTAATCCACTAGCTCATTCTCATAATCTGGTTTAATCTTTGAGACCAATCCACTAAAATGATGAAACTAATTGAATAATGGTGCTTTAAAAAAACAGTCGGGGACTGAAAGAGCCACTTTATTCTAATTTTAAATTTCAGTTCCCAAGCTAACTTTGATATATTCCTTATTGTCTTTGTGTTATAGCTCGGCATTTTCGTGGAACCCGTACAGAGCCCGCTAAATTCTCGCACTAATGATAACCTTGATCTTATCAAAACTAAAAAAATAATTGATTTTTTATCCCTGAAACGGGTGCATTGGATTACGATTGATTCAAACAATTCACATTTAAAGGTCTCTGAAATGACGGGGAAAATGTTGAAGCCCAAAAATTAGAATGCGATTATGTTATAAAAACTTATTGAGCATTGAT